AGCTAGTGTGGAAAAGAGGATTAAGCCGGAAGGAGACTGTTCTGTCGTAGGAAAGAACTCGTGTTGGAAATGTACGACGAATCACTCTTAAAAGTTGCATTTCTGCATTGAGCTGCAAACCTCTTATAGAAACTGTTTTTTGGTTTTTGGACTTGCACAACAGGTCCGCTGCAAAGAATAGTGCCTCCGTAAAGTCCAAGGTAGTTCAATCAACCTCCCAGAAGGTAAACGGGCATCGATTCGGTCCAAATATAGTACTTTCAAATATATCTATTGTGCCGAACTTTGACGGAGGTTCTCCTCATTGATTCATTACTTAGATTTTATTTCCTTACGTGGCGGAGCCCCGAGCTAAAAAAGAGACGTGACGGTGTCAGGGTAACGCCTTTTCCGGTACGCTTTTCACCGGCGACTTGTAGGTCCGGAAGGAACGGCCTTTCAAAGATGGTTGGCCTAATGTCGACACTGTACAAGAAACTTTCTGAATCAAGAATTTGATTGGCAGAGAATTGAATGCGCAATAATAAAGCAACCAATCGCAGAGTGTCTCCAGTGCTTGACAACGAATAGCGTTAGAATCGGTACCATTACAGTGTATTCTATGCGTCGAGGAAAAATTGAATGTTTTCGCTCGTATGCGTCGTTCCGAAAGGCTTGTGGCATAAGACCGCAAACGAGGACCACTGCGGTCAGTGCAACAAAATAAGCCGCGCTCCTATGGTTATTATCAGATATACTTTTCTACAGTTCAAACCGGAGACATAGGATTGTTGTTAGAGTGACCGTCAGGGTACACAATCGTTTACAATAATATTTACCTACCGATGTCGCAGAATCTTCCGGTGTAACCCGGCTTGCACAAACATTCGAAAGACCGAACATGGTCAACGCAAGAGCCATTTTCACCACATGGAGCTGATTGACAATCGTCAATATCTGAGCAAATAGGGCCAATTGAATGAAATTGCATAAAATGGCATCGTATTTACTTATTTCGCATTCCTTTCCCGTAAAGCCATCATGACATATGCAGTGGTATCCATTGATTTCGTCAATACATCGTCCAACGTTATTGCAAGCGCCTATTTTGCACTCGTCTATCTCTAGGTACAAAAAATTAATGCGGTATAGGAGAAATATTTCAGTAACCTCACAATTATAAAATATAGAAGCATGTGTTTGCAGAGAATGTCAATGAATGTTGTTTTCACGAAACATTACTGCGGCAGATATTTCGTGAAGGGGTGCAACGTATTTGAACTAGGATCCTACATCTTACACAGTTCTTAAACTGATTGCCT